GCCTGGCCGCGGGAGGCCCTTTCCCTTGCTGTCGCTGCTCAGACAGGGCCTCTTCACCCTTCCTGCTGCCCCCAGCCTTGCTCACCCCCTTTCTGCCCAGGGTAGGGGCGCGCCCCGGAGAAATGGCAGAAGCCCCCAGGGTCCCTCTCTGTGGCCTGGCAGAGTGTGAGTGGCAGGTGGTTATCTCTGTTGAAATCGGGGCCGGCCCCTCGCCACTTTTAAAAAGAAGCAAGAGGCTCGTTCTTCACCCTCTTCCTGACCCCCACTTATATCAGCAGAGAGGAAAATGGAGTTAAAGCCCCCCATATCCCAGGAGGCTTCTGCTCTTGGATAAAATGAAGCTGCGTCCTGGGGCAGAACCTGAGCCAGGTGGGGAACCCTGATCCTAAGTCTTGGGGTCAACACCAGGAACAATACTGGCTGTGGCTCCAGAGCCACTGCTCCCCAGCCGGGACCCCCCACTGGCCCAGAGTGGGAAGTGCCCCTGACTGACCTCTTCTGCTTTCTGCAGCAGACAGTCTGCCTCAGCAGCCACATTCCGGGGAAACGTCCTTTTATGGTAGTGAGACAGCGCCCGCGTGTCGCTGCCGAGAGTGGTGTTGGTGGGAACCGTGTCTGCTGAGGGCTCTGGGGCCCGAGACACCCCTCTTTAGGGTGACTCAACCTGGCTGTTTACCCGGAGCCTGGGACTCAGCCGCAGCCTTTGACAGGATGGTTTGCTTTTAGGGGTCACCTCTCCTCAACCCCAGGCGCTGAGGAAGGTTTGTTGCAACTTGCCAGCTTTCCAGTTTGTTTTGGTTTGGGCTTGGTTTTCCTTGAAAAGAAAAGAAAAGAAACAGCAAGTGTCAAAATGTATCTCCTGTCTTCCCAGAGCCTCACAATGGCAGGAAGCTCCATGGAGAATCAGGGGGGACTTCCCACACGTCAGAGCGAATGTGACAGCGTGGCAGGGAGAGAGGGCCAGGCTGCTGGTGTTTCTTCTTGTTTGTATTAGTCCAGAGAACAGAATCTGGGGACAAAAGAGCCCAGTGACCTTGCTTGTGGGGGGGGGGGGCGGCAAAGACACGCGGTGACCTCAACCCGGCCTGTGAGGTGTCCTCTGAGTCAGGAGCATGTGGCTGGTCATGGGCCAGCTGCCCCCCGCCGAGAAGGCGCAGGAGGAGAGGGGCCGGCTGTGGCCGTGCTCCACTTCTGACCACTCTCCGCACTCTCTGGGCCTCGGGGGTCCCTTCTGTCCACTCCCCAAAACCTTCAGGCCCATGGCACAGGTGCCGAGCGGACGCTCGCAGGGCCCGGCCAGCACAGCACAGCCCTCTCCACGCCAGGTGCGCTGGCCCCTCACAGGGCGGAGTCCCAAAGGAACCCCCTGGGCCTTAACGGTCACTGCCACGGCCTCATCAAAGGGCAGGGCCCCCGGAGCACGGGCTGGTAGCTCAGCCTTGCAGAAGGACATGCTGCTCACACGTCCAGGCCACGCGGGGGACCCGTGTCTGGGCCGAGTGCGGCCAGAGGGCTGGCCCCGGGAGGACGGTGACCACAACCACAGTGGCCAGAGAGACGACGCCTCGCACAGGGCTGGGGCTCGGGCGTCCGTCCCCCCAGGCCTGCCGTGGGCTTTCCTGCCCACGTGCCCCGCCCTTCGCCCGCCCGGCCCTGCCCAGCATCACCGCCACCTCCCTGAGCTTATCAGTCCTGCCAAGCCAGAGCCCCTCTCCCTTCCTCGCCCCCCCCGCCCCCCAGGAACAGTGACCCTCTTCCCCCGGCTCCACACACGCCCGGCACTTTCCTTTCCAGGATTTCTGGTCTCTGCTGATAGTTTGGACTCTGAGTAGGGAGGGCGAAGCAGTGATGCAACACCCCAAAACCCTGCCCCCAGCTTCTGGGAATTGTCCTTGACACCCTGGCCAGCCCCTTCTCCACCTATCATGAACCTTCACACCAAAGCCAGGGAGTCCCGGAGGGGCGCCGTCCCCCTGCGCTGGCCGCGACTGTCAGCCCCATGTGTCCAGGAAGTCGGGGCCAGGCCCAGGGGCGGGCAGGGTCCTCGGCGAGCCAGGGAGGGGAGGTAGCGCTCCCCGGGCACCCCGCCCGCAGAGGCACAGCCATCCTTTGCGTTTTTGCAAGCTCTAGCGATTTTGCCCTCCTCCAGGGGAAGGTGAAGAACCCCTCTCAGGGCCGTGGGACCCCACTCTCAGCAGGGGGTGAGGTTTCCCAAACAGCCTCTCCAGGCCTCTGCAGAGCTAAAACCACCTGCCAGCCCAGCGGCAGGGGCCGGGGCTGTGGGCGCCTCGAGGGTCTAAGCGGACTGGGGGGGTCACCGGGGCCGTGTGCAGCGGGCAGAGGCTGGCAGGCGGGTGGGTGTGCCCAGACCCGTGGTCTCAGCCAGACCCCAGCGAGGGTCGAGAGCCAGATGCGGATAAGGCCGCTCAAGGTAGAGCCGGGGTTGAGGGAAGCAGCTGAAGCAGGAAGGCTAAGATTCGAGTCAAAGGAGGACCTCCCAGCAGCGGGGGGACTTCAGCCCCCGAGCAGCGCCATGGAGGGAGGCGGGAGACGTTCCCCGAGTCTGAAATCTAGTCCTCTGGGGACGCAAGGTGCACCCCACCGTGGGAATAAACCAGGCCTCGGCGCCCGAGTAGGCGGCTGGAGACAGATGTGCCCCAGGCCGAGCTGGGGTGGGGGCCGGGGAGGCGGAGGGACTGGTCATTCCCTCCCCACGTTGCCCGACGCTGGCGCTGCGCAGCTCCGCCTCCGTCCGCTGGACGGTCAGGGGCCGTCGGGCCTTGCTTACTTGTGGAGACTGGAACCCCTGTCAGCCCTGTGAGCTGTGCCCTTTCGGGAGGGGGTGAAGAGGCACACCCTGGGATTCTGGAAATGGCGGCGTGACTCGGGGCTGCCCGGCGCCGAGCACCCCACCTGCCCCCCGTGTCCCGCGTGGCTCTCCCGGACAGCCTGGCTGCTCCCTCTAACGTCGGAGGCAGCGATATGTAATTTTATCTTTCTCCTCTACCAACCCTCCCCAGGTAAAAGATGAGAAAAATATCCAGGAGGTGTTTGACCTGAGCGACTACGAGAAGTGTGAAGAGCTCCGGAAATCCAAGAGCAGAAGCAAGAAAAACCACAGCAAGTTTAGTCTCGCCCACTCCAGGCAGCCGGGGAACACGGTAGGCTGCCCAGCGCGGCGGGGGAGGACAGCCCGCGGCCCTGACCCGGCCTGGCGGCTCGCTGTCCAGCGGAGGCCCCGCCGTCTGCCCCCTCGGACAAGCCGCACGCGGGCCCTTGTCCGCGGGCGACGCGCCGTCTCCCGGCCAGAGGTGGCTGACGCTCTGACTCCTCGTGCCCGGGGGACCAGGGCAGCCGCCCCGGACACGTCCCGCTTCTTCGAGCAGCCGGGGCCGTTAGCTTGGGGCTGTCCACCACGCACTGTGGTCACTCCAGGGACAAGTACTGTCCCCTTCCCTTCCGGGCCCCTCCGAGGTCGGTCCTGATGCAGCCCCCAGGCCGTGGCATTTTGCGCCAGGAGAGGCCGGTTTGAGCGGCGAGGAGCCCAGCCAGACGGCCCCCCGGGAGCTGGGTCTGGGGACGAGGCCACGGCCTGTGGCCTCCTCACGGCCAGGCCAGGCGCCGCTCTCGGGCCCCGGCTGAAACAGGGGTCCTCCCTCAGGCACCCAACCTGGTCTTCCTGGCGGTGAGTCCAGAAGAGAAGGAGTCGTGGATCAGCGCCCTCAACGCTGCCATCACCCGCGCCAAGAACCGCATCCTGGATGAGGTCAGGGGCGGGGCAGCCCTAAGTCTCCCCTCCGGTTCTCCTCCCGCCTCTCCTGCCATGCCCCTGACTCGGGCTGTCCCTGCAGGTCACTGTCGAGGAGGACAGCTATCTCGCCCACCCCACTCGGGACAGGGCCAGAATCCAGCACTCCCGCCGCCCTCCAACTCGGGGACACCTGATGGCCGTGGTACGTAGACCGAGGGGAGATGGCTGTGGACACGGGGTGGGAGCCACGTCCTGCCCGATGGCCCAGCCCGCGGAGGCACAGCCGGGAGGCCCCTTGGGTGCCCACGTGGAGGGCCAGGGACGTCCTGCCAGGGACCCCTGGGGCAGAAATAGAGTCCCCTCCCTCGATGAACGCGTCATCCTTGAAAATGAGCTGTCCCCACCGGTGAAGCGCAGGGCGGGGATGAGCGTACCCCGCGGGCGAGGCGCTGGCGGTGACATCGGCGCCCGGCCGTCGGGACGGAGGGGCCGCGCCAGCCAGGTGTGGTCGCGGCAGTCTGCTTTCTGTGGGGTCCCTGAGATGTGTCTCGGCTGCAAGTGGCGGCAGTTGTCACGTCTGCCGGGAAGAGTCGCAGTGAGGAGGGACTGAACCGTCATCTATAAAAACACACCTGAGGTCCTGAGTGCCCTGTCACTATTTTTTGGAATTACAGTATTCTGGAAATAGAAGGATGCGTTTTATCACAAGACCGGGCTTCGGAGTCCCTAGAGCAAGGCGGGAGAGTGGGGCTCGGGGCCCAGGTAGGAGGGGGCAGGGGTCCCCATGCTGAGCGGACACTGCGGGAAGCTCACACCAGACTGGCGGACGCAGGCGACTAACAGGCAGGAGAAAGTCCGAAGCCAGAGGAGCTTGAGGCAGCCGCCAGTCGGGGCTGGAGGCCGTGGCCGGGCCGGCTGGGTGGGGCTGGAGGCCGTGGCCGGACTAGAGGCCTGTGGCCAGACTACAGGCCTGTGGCCGGACTACAGGCCTGTGGCCGGACTAGAGGCCCGTGGCCGGACTAGAGGCCCGTGGCCGGACTACAGGCCCGTGGCCGGGCTAGAGGCCCGTGGCCGGGCTTGAGGCCCGTGGCCGGGCTTGAGGCCTGTGGCCGGGCCAGCCTGCGCACCCCAGCTGACAGGGCCCCTGGGACGCCCTCTTCCCTCCAGGCTTCAACCTCTACCTCGGATGGGATGCTGACCTTGGACTTGATCCAGGAGGAAGACCCTGCCCCTGAGGAGCCAGCCTCCTGTGCCGAGAGCTTCCGCGTGGACCTGGACAAGTCGGCCGCCCAGCTGGCGGGCGGCCGGCGGAGAGCAGATTCGGACCGCGTCCCCGCCTCCTCAGACCGGGCAGGCGGCCTTCCGCGGCCTTGGGAGAAGCCAGACAGGGGGGCCACCTACACCCCCCAGGCGCCCAAGAAACTGACCCCCACGGAGAAGGGCCGCTGCGCCTCCCTGGAGGAGATCCTGTCTCAGCGGGACCCCGCCCACCCCCTCCAACTGCAGGCCGAGGACCCCCCGGCCCCCGCCCCAGCCTGCCCGGCACAGCTGTCCCGGATCCAGGACCTGGTGGCCAGGAAACTGGAGAAGACTCAGGAGCTGCTGGCGGAGGTCCAGGGGCTGGGAGACGGGAAGCGCAAGGCCAAGGACCCCCCGCACGCCTCCCCGGGCGCCGAGCAGGGGCAGCTGCTGCTGGAGACGGAGCGGCTGCTGGGAGAGGCCTCCTCGAATTGGAGCCAGGCCAAGAGGGTGCTGCAGGAGGTCCGGGAGCTGCGGGACCTGTACCGGCAGATGGACCTGCAGGCCCCCGACTCCTGCCCCAGACAGACCGCACAGCTCAGCCAGCATCGGAAGAGCCTGCTGTGACGCCCACGGGCCCGCGCTGCAGGAGGGACCTTTTTATTTACCTCAGTCAAAAAACAAGAAACAAAAACCTGATCACACGCGTCGCCCTTGCTGGTGCCCAAGCCCCACGCAGAACTCTGCCCCGCCTCCTGCCGCCCCATCTCCCTGAGAGCCCGGGCCCCGGGTTAGGGCCCCCGGAAGGCACGGTCAGGCCAGGCGCTGTACCCCAGGTGTGCACCCGCAAGGCGAGGGGCCGCTCCCGCTGGGGCCGGGGCTTTCTCAGGTCTCGTCCAGGTTTTCAGTCGGGGTGAAATTTCAGCCGCGTGGCTCCAGGGACGACGCCCGCCCGCGCCCGCCCGTCAGCACGGGGACCTGAGCCGCACGGGCGAGGATGGGCTGTGGGGGGGGGGGCTCGGCTGCTCGCTGGGCGCCGCCTCCGGCCCTTCCCCACCAGCTCGGCCGGCCCTGGGTGGTTTGGCGCGGTGTGGCAGAGGGGAACAGCCACCCCACAGCAGGCTGAGCTGAGGAGAAGCTTACCTGTGACGCACGCCGCCGGCCAGGGGAAAACCAGGCTGCTCCAGGTTCCTCTTTCGGCCAGGCCACCGCTTCCTGCCCCTCTCCCTCCGCGGCCCTCTCCGGAGCCCTCAAGCCTGACACTAGAAAAGCATCTTCCGGGCCGCACCCTCCCTCCCATCCGGGTGCCTCCCCCAGAAGGGCTGAGATTAGGTTTAGGACACCCCAGGAGCCTTGTGAACACAGAAGGGCGCGGAGACAGGACTCGGATCCAGTAAACGAGGGGTTACGCGGCAGCTGCCCCCTCTGCCCTGGCCCCTCACCTGGGCAGCCAGGGGACAGCACCACGCCCAGATGGCGGCCAGGCTGCGGTGGCCTTGGGGGCCGTGGGCGGACGCCCCGCTCTGCGGCAGGCCCAGGGCCGCCCTGGGTGGAGTCTTCTAGGCCTTAATGCTCTCAGGGAACCAGGCGGGGAGGCCGGAGGCCAGGGGACTCCGCGCCCCCTCTGGCCCCTGGCTGCTCCTGTCCCCAGACGGCCCCTGCGCTGCGGCGCCTTTAGCCCTTTCCCCGGCACGGGAGTGAGCGCTCTGGGCCCAGCTGCCCACGGTGACAGGCGTGGGAGCCCGGTGCCCACGCTGGGCCAGAGCCTGGCAACTCTTTCCCCTTCGGCCCCAGAGCAAGGCGGGAGGGGGCTGGGTGCGCGGCCCCTGGCGGCACCGTTCCCGGGAGGAGCCCTGCTCACTCCCAGCTCGGACAGTCCCGCCGGCCGGCCGCCGCGCTCTGGGCTGGCCAGGCCTCCGGGCCGCCAACAGCCCCCTCGCCCGGCACTCAGGCTGGTCAGCAGGGCGCCCTTTGAAGGCTGCAAGTCTCGGTGAAAATTATATTTTCTTTTTTAAGTCTCCACCTTTGTATTAATTTTACCAGCATTTTCCCTTGTCTCCTTCCTTCTTGTTCCCACATAATGAAAAAGACAAAAAGCCAGAGTGACAAGTGTCCCAACATGCCAGTTATCTTGGCTCCGGGGGGCTGGAGGGTGGAGGGGGACGCCCGGAAGAGCAGAGGGCGGAGGGCCGAGCTGGACACTGGGCCCTGGGGGCCTCGGGCAGCAGGACCCGGTGGGTACGCGGTGTGTTCCCGCTTTGGGCCAGCCAGGTCTGGGTTCAGGTTCTGACTCTGCCCCTGTGGGGTGAGGTCCGACTCAGCTGCAAAGTGCTGGGCGTTGGAGGAAATGGGGCGCGCGTGGCGCCGGCTTCTATTATTAGCACGACTCGGTCACTGAGCAGCGGGCCCTGGTGGCCAGAAGGTTGCTGGCGGCCTGGGGTGCGGCTGGTCTGTCGCTCCTGAGCGGGTCAAGGCGGCCGCCTGGGCTTCTCCACAGAGACAGGGCGGGGGG